ACTATCCTGCTTTATAATAGAACAAATGAAGCTCTTCTTTCAAAGAAAAGAATATCAATGGATGTATTCCTCCTACTAAAGTAGCCCTAATTCAGCATACAAGATGAGCTGTGTACTAAGGTGGGCTTTGCTGAGGAAAGTGTATCAAGCTGCCATGAACTTGCCTTCTCTAGAGAATTGGGAATGGACAAACCCATGCAAAAGTTTGAAAACCATTGTGCAGAAGCTAGTGCTTTTTCCAGGGAGCATAAATACTGTAACTGTAAGGAAGATGCCCTCAGGGCTATGCAAATGCCATAGAGCAGCTTTAAAATGTACTCTATTGTGTCATTGTGAAGGAGAATGCATTGATTAATGACTAATAGATATTATTTTGCTTAAACAGTTATTTCCAGCTTTTTGATAAAACTATGATTTTTATAATTGACCATAACTTCTGATGAGAATGAGATATAGCTGTGATTCAAACTTTAAAAGAATCTTTGAAAGAAGAGCTTTAAAATGATACCCATATTAAGTACTTTTGCTATAAAGTTTTTTTGTCACCTTTTCTTAAAAACGTAATTAACGCCAATAAGGTGTCAAAAGTAAAATTTGCTGTGGCTCCACTTCTTCAATTATTTACAAAAATATATTCTATTTTTACTCCAAGTTTCATAATTCTATGTAAAAAACCACAATTGTTTCACCTATCTGCCTAACTACTAGGGACACCTAAGCTAATTCAAAGCATTGCGTGAGTCATTTCCTGCACGCCCACCCACTATTTCCTGGGGCCGATAACTTTAGGAGATTTCAGACATTAGTAAGTTAAAGTTTGTTTTACAAGTCTTGAAGCATTACAAATTCCCTGATGCAAGATGGTTTGAATTTGGATTGAATCTTGGTCTACTTCACCCTACACTGGAAGCTATTGAGTCAGCTCATAGAAGCAATCCTTCACGCTGCCTGGTGGAGTGTTTAACCAAGTGGTTGACTAAAGCTGATGATAATGTCACCACTGTTGGTCCTATTATCTGGAAGACACTGGCTAATGCTCTTAGAGAAATGGATGTAAAATTTATTGGCATTGATATTTGCAAAACAAGTAATAATGTTATTATCGTTGCACTTTGTTTATATTTTTATTAGTGGCAGATCCTGTTAGTGAGATATTACAGTGTTATATTGGTAGACTAGCTCAAGTTGTTCTTACTGAGGAATCAGTTGATCTCTTACATACAAAGGGATTGATATCTAAGGATACATTAGCAGAAGTGAAGAGTTGTGGTTATTCATTGGTAGGAGATCCAATGTTACTAATATTAAGTGCTGTAGCTGAAGATCATAACAATTTATGTACTCTGACAAGCATTCTAATAAAATCAAATGAAGCAGTGTCTTTAGCTAGTGATATAATAATGAAATATGGTAATTCTATGTATACACTTTACTTTAGTCTGGCTTGCCAGACTAACTTTACTTATTTACATTCTAATACAATAGGAAAGTTATTTCCTTCAACAGTAACAGTGATGCCGTCTTGTCAACAAGCAAGTGCTTCAACAGCTTCAAGTAATAATAATAACATATATTCACTATTATAATAAATACAGGATCTCAACAATTACAAGATATTACTAGTGAGACTCAAGTAACTACCAATACTGATGCTACTGCACAAGGCTAGTGACATTAATTATACGTAATTCAGTGTCTTTACACTACATTATACTTGTAGGTGTAGTAGAGGTCATAGTTCATCCTGGCTATGAAGCAGAGTTTGATAGAATGGCTACTCTGCATGGTACTCTTATTCACAATGTTGTTCCTCTCATCAAAGCAGCGATACCATTTGTTGATGATTTAAAGACTTATGTTATTATTATTATTATTATTATTATTATTATTAGATTTTACAGCAAAATAATAGACTGAAATAGTAACAAAATGTGGATAGTGTACTAAGTTTGAGTTCGTGCTGAAGGTACACCAGTACGCTCTACCGGTGCCCAGAATATTAAAAATAAAAAGATTAAATTAAATGAATTTAGGAGAGTAAAAAGTAAAATAAGAATGAACAGACTGATAGATTAGGGAGGGTGAAGAGGTAAGAAGTTGGGAGTACGATGGATTTGAGAGCACTTGGAGCAG